ATCCACCGCAGAGCCAGACTTTCCTTCCCACAAACGCCCGCCACAAGCATGCCACACCGCCTCCGCTGGCGAACGCGCAACGCTCACTCAGCGGCAGAGCATCAGTTCTAGTTGTAGAAAACGTTTTTACGGCACTTTCAACACGTTACGGCTATAAAAGTGTCTAAGTTACAAGAGATTTTTTTTGTTTTAGTAGAGGTTTTACGGCGCTCTCAACGGCATAAGGTCATATGAGCGCCAGAAGATTAGAGGTGTTACAAGAGAGTAACAAACATAAAATAGAAGGAGGAGAGGTAAGGACGATACATCTTTGATATGAAAAAAGGAGCAAACATCACCAGAGCACCCGCCAACCACCCACCAGCGGCAGAGCATCAGTTCTAGTTTTAGTAAGAGTTTTACGGCACTTGCAACACAATACGGTTATAAAAGTGCCTAAGTTACAAGAGAGTTTTTGTTTTGTTTTGTTTGAGTAAAAGTTTTACGGCACCTGCAACACAATGAGATCATATATGTAACATACACAAAAAAGGAGGAGAGATAAGGACGACAGACGTTTGGCAGGAAAGAAGGAGCAAACCACACCAGAGCACCCGCCAACCACCCACCAGCGGCAGAACATCAGTTACAGTTTTAGTAAGAGTTTTACGGCAACACAATACGTTTATAAAAGTGCCTAAGTCACAAGAGAGTAACAACAAACACAAAAAAGAAGGAAGAGAGATATTGACGACTAAATGACGACAGACCTTTGACAGGAAAGAAGGAGCAGACCACACCACCAGAGCACTTGCCAACCACCCACACCCAGTCCTTTAATCAGGAGATGGACATTAAATTTGAAGGTCCCGCCATTTTGAAACACCTTACAGAGTCAAAAGGGAAGCAAAACCTACACAATATTAATTCCACGAACCCTGCACGGCATTGCGTCAGTTGGTAAGAGGTGAACACTTTTTCAGACGCAAAAGGATCACTTTCTATTTCAAGAAGTCGACGTGCTTCCAGTCATTTGAAGGGAACACCCAAGTCGAGGCACATGTCAACAAAACAAACCCCCAAAACAGATAATAAACAAGCACTGTGGCCAAAAGAAACCCGACCCCCCCA